CCCCACGAATGGCGATCGATGTCAATCATTGTTTGAGTTCCACCGTAATATCCGTATTTAGCAATTCCTATTTATCCGTTTCTGTTGTGTATCTTATACTCATTGTATTCTCATATGTCATTTGCCAGTGGTGCCAAAAGATTCTCATGCTACGGACACTCACGCTATTTGCCCAATGAAGATTCTCATATTAAATTGCTCATGGTACTCACTTATGTTGATCGCTGCTCGTATTTTGTTTTTGTATTTCGTTGTGTTGTCTTGTTGTTCATAAGGGGTTTCAGTTCTGCCTTTCCCCGGACTAAAGACCAAGCAGGATGGTATACCGCTCCTTGTTAAACATTGTACGCCAGGTTAGTGATTCTTTCTAAACTTCTTCGCTTTCAACTCACAAGGTTTCATCGAAGAACCCGTAATCGAGAGTGCGGCAAAGAGGCAGAACATCAATGTTCAAGCTGGATACTACATCCAGCATCCATCCAGCTTGTCCATTATATACGCAACGTTCAGGCTTGGAAATTTTGTGGCAGCTCCTATCATGGTTATTCTATTGCCAAAATGAGGAATGTCTTTAGCTGCATGAATCAGTGAGATTTGTCTTTACATATCCAGTGGATTCTCGGATTTCGAGCAGCCATACTGTGGAAAGGTCAAAGGACTTATCTAGCACAAAATTAAACCGAGAAAACCCCTTAAAAAAATAGCGGGCTGCTATGCGCGCTTGCCGAAGAAAGCCTTTTGGCTGGTGGTGTATTCCTCTTCGTTGTTTTTCACTCTTCTGAAACAACGGACAACATTTCCAACTCGACTGTACGTATTGTTTGTGGAGTATTCACTATACTAGCATGTCTTTCTAGCTTGTCACTGACATTTGCACTGCTGAGACCTGCTCAAGTGACGATGGTCCGAGAAGGAAAACCACAAAACGGTCGACTTCTTGATTCGACATTTCCACTGATAGTTACGAAACAAATGTTTCTTTTGCCCACTGTGTCTGCTTACACTGATATCGAGCAGGCATTCTGTACAGGAATCTATCCAACCTGTATCTCCTTCACTCAGAAATTGGGCTCGAACACGAATTCATTACTTGCGTTGAACTCGATTTCCGCCGGTGTGGGACAATTACAGCCGGTTTATCATTTGATATCCTCAGTTGCTATATTATCAATTCAGCGACTTGCGTGGCACTCACAACCCGAAGTGGCACGAAGACGCGAAGCCCAATTTCATCGAAGCAAAGACGATCAACTTTGGAAGATGGGAGTTCAGCTGAACTTTTATTCTACCTTTGAAACTGAAACTGAAATTTTTACCCTTTCTTTG